CCACTATCAGCCAGTATGGTACACAGGACAGTTTTGACCTAGAATTAGACTCTATTGACTGCTGCTTATTTGTTTAGTATTATTGTTTTTTTAAAACTTTGTTGCAATATCGCAGACTTCTGGGGAAAGTGGTGGACTGCTGTGTGTGTGTTTGTGCGTTTGCGTGTGTGAGAGAGGGAAATGTTGAATCACGTAATAAGCACTGATCTCTCTCTCTCCTTATTTATTTATCACCGCCGGTAACATTAATTATTATGAATGAAGCTCAGATTATAACTCATAAGAACCCAGTTTGTCACGGAGTGATACGGATCTGTGCAAAGGAATTCAATGTCATAGCCGTTGGACACACTCATTTTACCAGTACTATGAACCAATCAGATCGCTTGATATGAGCCACCCCTTTTATAAATATTTATATTCAGCATTATTTGTCAGCCATTCTGGAAACTTTTCTCAAACTCTTGGGGCTGTTGATCTTGCATATTTTTTAATCTAATTCAAAACTGATGTGCCAGACTCCGACCAAGATTTGTTTAGACCCATTTTGCACATGAGCCTTTGAGTAAACCTTTAGTCTGGTGACACCTTTGCCCAGTATCCTCATGACTCCATATTGGACAGTTCAGCACCTTAAGATTTGCATTCAAATGTTCAGTACAATGCAGTAGTGAGAGGGAAAGTAAGGGTGTGGAGGTAGATGTTTGTATTTGGTTACAAAAACCTACACAAACCTGCCATAAATAACATTATATTAACTGTTACCAAGATCTGACAGGGTTTTTGCTTTTATAGGTTTTATTACAGTAAGTTTATGAAACCACTGACCAAACCAGTCACAAATAATTATGGATGGATTGATATTGAAAATAAATTATTCCTCTTTTTTTATCCTTGAGAGGGTGAAAGGGTGTCCCCGGACCCCGCCTGGAGAACTACTGCTCTATTTGTCCAAATTTCACTTCTCTTCTTACTTCTAATAAACCAGACAACTACTACTACTACTATTACCATTACCTACTTCTTCTCCTTTGTACGTATTCAACGTAGTGATGAAACGCACTCTGTAGATGGCGGCACAACATGGAAACCAAACCATGTCAGGGGATCTGCGGCATATGTACGAAAAAATGGTTCATTCTAAGGTAATAAAAACATAATGGTTCATTATGTAAGGTCATTATACACTACTGAAAACACAGTTATGTATTTTATATAGCATTTCTGTCAATTTCCTAAATATTACACACTAATCCTTTAAAGGTGACCGCCACATATTTTACACATTGAAGTCTGTTTATAAATGTTAGGGAACACCACAGCATATGTGAAAAAAAGTTGTAGGTGTTCCTAATAATCCTTTAGGGGAGTTTAAAATGATTACTGATCTCTGCTGGAAGGAACTTGTCTGTTTCCACGACAACATCTGACAAATGATGTCATTGCTGATGTCACCACTGAGGATCATTTCTAAGCTAAACTTTCTTCTTCTGTTGTTTGTTCAGCTGGAGGTTTTGAAAGGTTTCTCAATAAAGTAAAAAGAAAATCAGCTTTCAGAAGAGTTTGTTGGCCTGTTTTTATTTGTTGCTTTGACATTTTTACTTTTGTTTTATTGATGTTTTTTGGTTTAATAGCTTTAAGGCCTGCACACTGAAATAGCTGCAGTTTTATGAATCACATTAAAGCCCCAACAGTTTGTGTAGGAAATTATATTTTCTGACTTCTGCGACAAATTAAAAAATAAGGATTATTATTATTATTATTATTATATTATTATTATTATTATTATTATTACAGCCAGAAAACCCTGTTTGAGTGTTCATATAAGAACCTGACTGCTTCTCTTCATTATGTTTGTGAGAGTCTTATGAAAACCGACCTACTGATTTATTTGTGATAACTGAGAGAAGAAAATTTACAAACTGAATCTCCTCCATTGTTAACAGATAAAAATAGAACTATAAAAATATAATGGAATATAATGCAGTAACAAAGAATCATATAATGCTGCATTATGTGTTGCTTTCAGATAAGTTTTCTACTGTAGATCAACTTTTCTCATTTATTTTCATCCTCACTGAGTGAACAAACATGCAGGCATAATTTAGTCTTCCCTCCTCTTTGGTGCATTTGGTTTGGGGGAGTAACCTCTTTATATATAAAGGTGAAGAAGATGCCATGTGCAGTGTTTTTATCAGAAACAGGAAAATGGACAAACACAGAGCTGTTAGCGTCTTTTAACAGATTCACTACAGGGTGCACAACAGACAGACTCACATACAACACATATCCTTGAAGTCGAACCCATGCAACTTGAAGAGCTCATCTGACACCAACGGAGCATCTCCATCAAGGACATTTCCTTAATTCCTGCCCTGTTCAGCCGATTCAAGACCTTCTCAGAATGCAGATCCAAGCCACTGTCACGAATCAGAATCAGTTTTTACGCCAAATAGGTTCACACATAGAAGGAATTTGCTTTGGGGAATTGGTGCATAACAATCAATATAAAATACATAAATAGGGAGATTTGTGCAGTGAGACAGTCCTGATGGACCGCGGCCTCTTGTCAAAGGGGAGTGTCTGAAACAGTTTGTGTCTGGGGTGGGAGGGTCAGCCAAAAGCTTTCTGTCTCACATCAGGCATGCTTGTGCTGGTGTAAACAGGAAGTTGATCGTCTACGAAAGAAGAAAGTACCACAGATGAATGCAGAATAACAATGGTGAAGAACCACACCAGATATTTTTTTGTAAGGACAGACAAGTTCTGGTGCAGAACAAGTGTATAAATATTATTTGTACGGGAAAAATGATTCTAAAAAAATACCAAAACAAAAACACTGTCAGTAGCATTTCAGGTGTGCAGATCCGAACTTGTCACATATTGATGCTTGGTCAAGGCCCTTTAGCGTCATTTTTAGACATTTAAGGCTCTGCGGTCAAGTTAGCAATGCTTAGCAACCATAAATATGCAACATCTGGTTAGACTTTCAAAATAAAACCCTAGCCTTTCGAAACATTGCCAGTTTGAAATGACACATTATTAAAATTGTGAAACTTTGCAACTTAGTTTGGTTTAGGCACAAAACTACTTGGTTAAGGTTAGGAAAAGATCATGGTTTGGGTTAAAATAACTTCACTTGCATAACTTACGCAATTTGCCTGATGTGGACAGCTGTAGGGTTTGCCAGTCAGTGACTTAGGTTTAGGCACTAACATTTCTGATGGTCATGTTAAGAGTAGGAGGCTTCGGGGGGCTGTCAACAACTTTAACACGAACATAGCTAGCTAGCTAGCGACCTTTAGCATCAAATAGCTACCTTGTCACTTAAGCTTTATATGCTTTGTCACTTTTTGGTATTGGACACCTTGAGATGAGAATGCAGGGAGGGATTTGTACGTTTGTGGCTCACTTCCAGTCAATTAATTGAATTTAGTGTTCTGTGGAAATCTGTAGAAAGAAATCCACAAGTCTGAGAATCAGTTCATTAGCTTCACCAGCAGGTAGCGACAACGACATTCCCTCACGTGAGTTAACACGATATCACCACTGTCCAGCATCACCCTCATCTACAGAGACAACAAGGAGGAGGACTGTAGCCTGGTTTCAACCAGGACGTGAAAAATAACTGGAGAATCATTATTTAAGTCAAAGATGGTGATTCAGGTTCATCATTATGACGTCCCCTTCTAACCTACCTGTGACCATCACAGCTAAATGCCTCGGCCCAACCCTTATTCTAAATGCAATGCAAATTCAATTCTAGCCTGAACTTTCAAACCAAACCTTCAAACACACACAAGCTACCAAGAAATAATTTACCTCACATCTGTCTGTGCTCAACACACGGCTTGTTTGATCCCATTCAAAAAGTGTTCTTTCAATATTAACGCGTGTTAAATCCATAAGTCTGTTTCTAACCTGGATGTTTCCTCTGAACACGCCATCTGAAAAGTAGAACCAGCAGAACCAGTAAAACCAGAACAAAGGACAGACAGACAGGAACAGACCACAGCATCACAGAGGGAGGAGGAGGAGCTGGTGATGAAGAAAGACAGGTGGACGTAGGAGGACGTGTAGTGGTGGGTTTCCCTAAAATGAACAGGAAATAATTATCAAAAGAACTTAAATGAAAAATATAGAACAAAATCCTCCTTTTGGCCTTTTCCACTCAGTTGGGTGCAAATTTTGATATTTAAATATTTACCCATTTTGTTTAATGTATTTTCCAGGTTTGGAAGCTGATTTATATTTAATATTTAAAACTAAGTTCCAATATTAGTCTTGTTAACCTGCACATGTTCACGTTACACATGTTTAAAGGTAGAGGTGCTGTATCGTACTAACAGAAAGACACACAGAAGTGAATTCATAACTTCTGTCCAGTTTAGAAAAAAAAACCAGGTCAGTTTGAGAATTATCTTTGAGCTCCTCACCTGTGACAGAGATCCAGCTGGATGGAGACTCTCCACGACCGCTGATGTTACACTTGTAGAGGCCTTCATCAGACTTGTTAACATGGTGGATGGTCATGTGACCTGTAGGCTCAGTCCTGATGAGGGAGCCATCTTTATAGAAACCAGCTGGGAGGTTGGAGGGAGGGGTCTCTGTTTCACAGTGCAGAGTGACATCATGTCCCTCCATCACAGGGAGGACAGGACTCTGCAGGATCACTGGTCCACCTCAACACAGAGACAAACTACAGCATTTCATCATTTACACACAGCTTCATCAACACTAACTCCACAGTCTGATCTTACCAGTGACAGTGATGTTGATGGTGTTACTGGTTGCTCCCTCTCTGGATTCACACCAGTAAACTCCACTGTCCAATGGGTCAAAGTAGCCAATGTTACATGAAGAACCAGCTGATCTTCCCCAGCCAGCTCCACACTGAGTCCTGGTTTCTCTGGTTGTGTTCCTCCTCAGCGTCCATCCAGCAGAGCTGTCGTCCTCCTCACAGCTCAGAGAGACAGACTCTCCTTCAAACAGCTGAGAGCTGCTGGGACTCACAGTCAGAGAGGCTGGAGGGAAGTTATTGGATTTTTAGTTAAATGACCAGACGGCGTCACTGTAAAAACTTGATGTCCAAGCATTGCATTTAAGAAACTTGTTTGTTGAACAAAAGATTCTGAACTTGTTGCTAAACTGGTGCTGAATATTTAGATTTAGTTTAGCTCTTGAAATACTCGACTGATATTTTAAATATTGAACCTTTGTGTTAATCCAATGTCACTTAGTTGTAGCTAATGATAGGATTTACTCAAATAATGAGCACAGTGGTTGCTAACACGCTGCACAACAATGATGGCTTGGACATCAATGGTGTTGTTCCTTGAAGTACTGAGCTCAGGAAAACGGACTTTATTGTTATTATTTATTTCTTGTTTCCAAACAGCCCAGTAGCTGCTTTATGAAGAAAGATTCACAAAAATAATGGATGGGGTTTTCTTGTTAACTGATTTATGCATGCGGTGTGTTTTTTATTTAAATGGGATCCAGTGGCAAAAAGGCTGCCTGACATGCTATATTATTTTTATAATTTATATATATTTATATATATATAACAATATTTTGTGCCTCTAAATGAATAAATAGTTAATAGTTCTCTGGTTGTTTTTATAACAGAAGTGTAATAGTTATGCTTTAAATCTGAGTCACATAATAAACCTATTTTAATTTTAACCAGGGTTTGGAACTATTCCTTAAGCCTTCAGTGCCCAGCACATGAAGCTGGTGCCTTTTTTGAGCCCTCAGGACCAGAGAGCTAATAAACCTGCCAACCATTGTTAAATTTTAATTTGCAACTTTCTGCACATTTTAATTCAATTAAAAAGTTGCATAAATACTTTCATAAAGAGTTTTACTGTAAATATTCAATATATTTAAGCATTTATTCTTGGATCTGAAATCAAACATTAGTAAAGTGACAGATTACACAGTGTTTTCAGGCATTTGATTTATTTCATATCTGAAGACATGGGTCAGATCTTTTATTTTCAAGATAAAATCATCAAAACAGTCTTGATGCTGTTGCATCCTAGTCAACTGGTCCTTCTCTGTTTTTGGTAGTTTCACTTAAGCCTGTTTTTGTCAGTGGTTGTTAATAATCTTGTTCATTTGTAAATGTTCATTTAAGTTTTTGTATGTTAAAACTTCTTGTTAAAGTATCTAATAATTTATGTTCAGTCTTTATGGAACATACATTTTGTGTTACTTTTACCAGAAACAGTTTCTGACCGTCAGAGTTGACTCACCTCTGCTGGTCCTGCAGCTCAGCAGAGTGATCAGCACTGAAGAGAAACCAGACTCAGATTGGTTTGACATTTAACATAAAACCAGACCAGACATGAGAAACTTTGAGTTCCCCTTCAAGGGAACTCGAACTGCGTCGGTTACGACACTATGGGAACGCCTCTAGGCGTAGCAGGTCTGAACGTGAATGAAACCACTCCAATCCTATTGGCTTGTTGCTAGAACGGTAAGGTGTGACGGAATAACCGGAGGAGTATAAAGCACACCTGTACACACTCATCATTAGCTTTTTTCTATTCAGCAGGCGCTCTGTATGTTGTTTGAAGAAAGCTCCAGTCCTACAAGCAGTGTGGCTTACCTGAAGAAGAAGTCTACCAGCATGTCCACTAACCAGATGTACAGAAGGTGTGTTTTTTTTTTCTTGCCCTCGGTACATCACGGATGGAGATTCTCATGAGATGTGTGTCTCATGTTTAGGGATGGAGCACGCCCGGGCAGCTCTCGAGGGGGCTGCCTGCGCCCGTTGCGAAGCCCTTTCCGTGCGGGTACTGAGGTCCCGCATGGCTCTCTTTTCCGAGGATGGCCGGATGTGTTTTCCCCGTGGTGCGGGCCCTGCGGCCGCTGAGGCGGCCTGGCGGCTTCACTCATGGGGTTCACAGCGATGTCAGAGGATTTCGGGACGGCTGAGGCTTTTTCCAGACCTTCATCCGCTGGCTCCGATGCTTCCTTTCCTCGTTCGGGAGCCCGTTCTCGGCTTCTCCCGCTCGCGGTTTGGATCCGGAGATGCTGCAGCAATCCGACTCCGAGGAGGCGGACGTGCTCGGCGTAGTGGACGATGACTTCCGGGTGCCGGGGCAGCGTCATCTGGCGGCGCCCGACTATGACGTGCTGCTAGAGGTGGTGACTAGAGCCGTGGCTAAGCTCAACATCAACTTGCCATCATGGGGCAGACCCTTCTCTACACGGCTTTCCACATCCCTATCACTGAATTACAATAATGTGATGGGGGTTAGGGACCGTGGTTATGGGAGGATGCCTCGGGTGGAGGATGCGCTCGCGAGCTATCTCTCCCCTCGACTTGAGTCCTCCCTGGAGAAGCCGGCGTTACCCTCCAAGCCATGTCACACCACATCTACGCTCGTGGGGAAGGCGTACATGGCAGCGGGCCAGGCAGGTGCGAGCCTGCACACCATGGCGGTGCTTCAAGCCTACCAAGCCAACCTGCTACAGGAGATGGTTCAGAGGGGGGTCCCTCTGAGGAAGATCTGGCGGAGCTTCGCAGAACCACGGAGCGTAAGATGCAGGGCGAAGCGTTCCGCCAGTACCTCCTTCGCCGGTCTGGACCCAAGGCAGCTGAGGCTGCCAGGCGTAGGTCCCTTCCCTCTACGAGCTCCTACGGAGAGGAGAGGAAGCAGAGTGTCGCTTCTCGGGGGCCCCCCCGAGGAGCTGGGGTAGCGAGACGGCGCTCTCACCCTCAGCCTTCCGAGAGACGCGATCTGAGGACCGTCATCCAGTCCCGATGGAGCTCAGGGAAGACCGGGTTGGGGAGTCTTTCTCCCCTCCCGCACCCCACCCCCCCACCCCCCCGGAGGCCGATCGAGGTCCCCTCCGCCGTGGCAACGGGTGATGTTATCCCGCCGTTTACACGTTCAGGACGCACGTGCCAGAACGACATCGAGAGGGCACAATTGTCTCCGGCACGTGTCGACACCATATTGGCTGCCGTGAAAGGGGTGAAGTTAGGCCACGCCATTACTATAAACAATTTCAACGAGTGTTGGGTCTCCTGGCGGCTGCGTCCAGCGTAATACCATCTGGACTGCTGCACATGAGACCCCTGCAGTGGTGGCTAAGGACCAAGGGTTTTTCCCCGAGGGGAAATCCTCTCCGTCTGATTTGGGTTACGCGCAAGTGTCTTCATTCCCTATCAGTTTGGAAGGAAACTTGGTTCCTGTCCCAGGGGCCCGTGCTGGGAGGGTCTTGTCGCCGGCTGGTCATTTCGACAGACGCCTCCCTCACGGGCTGGGGCGCGGTCATGGACGGCCGCTTTGCAAGGGGATCCTGGCAGGTGCATCAATCCGAGTGGCATATCAACTGTCTCGAGATGTTGGCGGTGTTCCAGGCTCTAAGGATTTTCCTGCCCGATCTCCAAGGCCACCACGTCCCGGTTCGTTCTGACAACACAGCGGTGGTGGCCTATCTGAATCACCAGGGCAGTCTTCGCTCGCGCCAGTCTGTACAGAGGGCAGATCCTCCTGTGGTCCCAGCAGAGGTTACTATCGCTCAGGGCGATGTATCTCCCGGGGACACAGAATCAGGGAGCAGACCTGCTGTCGAGGCAGGGGCTGAGGCCCGGGGAATGGAGACTTCATCCCGAAGTGGTGGAGCTCTTATGCGAAGAGTTCGACCCCATAGACGTGGATCTGTTTGTGTCTCAAGAGACTACGCACTGCCCGCTATGGTTTTCTCTCGTTCCTCCAGCCCCGTTGGGTCTGGACGCCATGGTACATTCGTGACCGAGGCTACATCTGTACGCTTTTCCCCCAGTCGCTCTGCTCCCGGGGGTTCTGGAGCGGGTCCGCCAGGACAATGTCGGCCTACTGATCGTAGCCCCGTTCTGGCCAACCCGGGTGTGGTTCTCGGACATCATGTCGCTCCTTGACGGCCCGCCGTGGCGGGTCCCTCTGAGAAGAGCAACTGGATTGTTCAGATTATTTCCCTGGCCTATCAGGTGTGCGGTTTGCCTTCACCTGTGGCTGTGAGGGCTCATTCTACCAGAGGCATGGTAGCCTCTCGAGCCCTCCTTTCAGGGGCCTCTTTGCAGGATGTTTGTTTAGCGGCTGGCTGGGCCACTCCGCACACATTCATTCGGTTTTACAGTCTTGACCTTCCTTCGGCACCTGGCACTCGTGCACTCTCCTCTTAGTCGTGCCACTTTATTGCACACTGGGGCAGGCGGGGTTTTCGGCACGGTTTAGTGGGTATCTTGTTCCCATAGTGTCGTAACCGACGAGACTTCATCCCGTATGTAACCCTGGTTCCCCGAGAAGGAGAACAAGACACTACATCGGCCCGCCGCAACTCTCTCCCCACCTGAAGCGCCTGCTTCATAGTTTAAGCTAATGATGAGTGTGTACAGGTGTGCTTTATACTCCTATACTCCTTCTTTTTTCAGGTAAATTCTAAAGTAACGTTGTTTTTCATCAGATTGTACTTACAGAGCAGAAAAGCTGTCTGTCCCATCGCTCCTCCACTCAGTCAGTCCAGTTAATCTCTTTTTAGCTTAGATTTTTAGCTTCTGAAACTCCTGACATTTTACACATTGAACCTATTTACTGAAGAGTCTAACAGGTTTTGTGTTAATCCAATGTCACTTAGTTGTAGGTAGCTAATGATAGGATTTATTCAAACAATGAGCACAGTGGTTGCTAACATGCTGCACAACAATGATGGCTTGGACCTCAGCAGCAGACTTCTCTCAGCTCTGTCTGTGAGCGATCTCTCAGAGGCTGCACAGCTCTGGTGTTTAAGTTGCAATGTTAACAGGAACAACGTTTAGATAAAGGACAATAGTTACAGCATCTCAACTGAGATGGCAGCCTCTGAAAAAGTAATAAACCTGCCAACCATTGAAATAATGATGACATTTCTGCACATTTGAATTGAATTAAAAAGTCTCTAGTTTGTAAATGTAACTAGTTTCATAAATAGTTTTATTGTAAATGTGGAAAAAGGAACCAAAGTTGACCAAGGTGCTTCACAGGTTAAAATACAAAAACAAGACACTACTCACACAGTAAAAGTACAGCAATAAAACATTATAATATACAGTATATGATATATATATTATTACTACTTCTTCTCCTTCTAACGTACGTATTCAACACAGTGATGAGACTCACTGCATGAATTCTACCAGATGTAGAACAAGAAGAACGTATTGACGAAACATGCTTGGCAATGCTTTTTGTCTGATTTCAGCTACTGTAGAAACATGTCTATGCAACGTGGCGACGTAAGGTCTTTACACACCACTGAAAACATAGTTATATTAATAGTAATAATGAATTAATTTACATAGCGCTTCATCAGTGAAACTCAAAGTGCTTCACAGTGAAGTGGGGGGGACTCACCTCAACCACCACCAATGTGTAGCACCCACCTGGGTGATGCACAGCAGCCATTTAGCACTTGAACGCTCACCATACATCAGCTTAAGGCAGAGATGGAGGGAAACATAGAGCCAGTAACTACAGGGGATGATTAGATGGCCAGATGGTGAAAGCCAGGTTCATGACGTGGGGAACCTCCTACTCTTTGTGACAAGTGCCATGGATCTTATATTGCATTTCTGTTGATAAATCCTCAGAAATATTACAAACTGAACCTTTAAGACATGGGTCAAATCTTTTTATTATAAAGATCTATTATTATCAAAGCAGTCAAGTCAAAAATGAGTCAAATTTTGATGCAAGTGCATCCTGGTAAACTTGACCTTTTTGTTTTGGGTAGTTTCACTTAAGTCTGTATTGTGGCTGTTAATAATTTATTAATAATTTATTAATGTTCATTTGAGTTTATGTATGTTATATCTTGTGTTTTTTTTGTGTGTTGAAGTATTTTACTATAATTTTACTTATTTACTATTTTCATTAGTAATCTTCAAACTCTTTGGGTACATTTTATATCAGTATTCTCCAGGAAGCGTTATGCTAAAATCTTTTGAGCAAAGTTTTGAGTTGACTCACCTCCGCTGGTCCTGCAGCTCAGCAGAGAGATCAGCACTGAAGAGAAACCAGACTCAGGTTGAGATTTAACAAACAACCAGACCAGAAACTTTGAGTTCTGCTGCTCACTGCAAAATCTTCTAACCTTAAATAATTTAAAATATGTATATTATTGAGGATATTAAATGTCTCAGCAGTATTATGTACAAGAATACATTAACCGCTAGAACCAAAAGTTTATTAATGCTGCGTTCTGTTACTCTCTTTTTCCAAAGGCTTAATTATTAAAGTAACTTTTTAAAGATGTGATTTTCTGTCTGTCTGTCTAAAAAACACAAACATTAACTAACGTTACAAGAAGTGACTGTTATTTCATGTCTGTAGCCTAATAAAGCTTGTTGCACCAGCTGCAGTGTCTAAATAATTTTCATTGAGTGTCATTGTCGTTGAGTTTTGTCTTTTTTCAGGTAAATTCTAAAGTGACGTTGTTTTTCATCAGATTGTACTTACAGAGCAGAAAAGCTGTCTGTCCCATCGCTCCTCCACTCAGTCAGTCCAGTTAATCTCTTCCTCTCTGTAGGTGAGAGCAGTGACTGTGTAGAAGCTCATCTGGTTTTGCTTCTTCACTCAGAGCTCATCAGGAGACACGGGGCCCTACACAAAGAGTTTAATCACATGCAGGAAGTGACAGCGCTGCAGGCTGAACATGAAGGAGGGCTGATCTGAGATCACTGAGAGACAGATTCATTAGAAACAAGGAGGTAAAGTTCCTCAGTGGAGTTTCTCTCCACTCTGTAAATATCTGTGTGATGAAGATTTCACTTTCCAAAAACATTTTGTAGAAGTTTAGATTAAACTTTCCTGGGTTTCCCTCTTACTTCTGTTGTTGTTGTTGCAGTGACACAGATGTCCTGCAGGAGGCAGTAACATTGACTGTGCAACTAAACTGTGGTTCATCTCTGATGTTTGATGATCAGTGTGAGTCCTGTTTTACATTTACCATCTGGACTTCTGCTGTGAAATGATGCAACATCAAGTGTCCCCTTTTATTACTGAGTTTTGCACAGAGAAACAGTGATGGGGGAAGGAAACCTGTTCAAGTGTTTTATATTTCTGGATTCTTTATAGGCAAGTCAAGTGTTGATTTTAGAGCCTAAATCGAGCTTCATCTCATTTATGGCCACTTGGTTGTCACTTAAAAATTTAACAAACAATTTATGACTTTCTTCTTATATTGGTGCAATTATGCTGAGACATCCTGTCTGTAAAGATGAACATGCTGGATGATCCCTCTGTTCTCCTGTTTGCTCCAGAGTAACTCTGCTGACATCTGCTGGTTAAAAACACATTCACACATTCAGAGAATCAATCTGACTTCCTGTTAATAAGATTTATTTAACTACTCAGGTAACTTTTAGTAACTGGTGCACTGGATTTAAAGTTCTCTGAATTGTGTTATTAAATATGTTTTCAGTTACAGAGCAGGGTTCTCTTGTTATTTTACCCAAGCTTGTAAAGACACAAAGAAAGTTGTTGTGTTGATCTTAAATGTTTTTAATATCTGAACACAAGAAGCTTCACACAGGTTCTGTTTACTGCCAGCAGTACTCGGATATATTTGATCAGAGTACTTTTTACCATGTAGCCTTCTTATTTAGAGTTTGATGTTGATATTAAAGTCCAGCGACTTCTGATATGTTTTTCTTTATCTCATCATTAATGTGAAATCTATAAATGTGGTGCAGTAGTGTAAGAATGTATCATTTATTCAATATACCATATTCTATATTCTTCAAAATGTATTATCTATTTAATATATTAAGTTTTATGTTATTCAGACACTTGTATAAGCATGTAACATCCCTAGTCAGGTCTCTGTGTTAGGAGGACCTATGTATTTGGGAGCTAATGGTGTAAGACCAGAACGATCCAAAGGGGGCCCGTACCCTGGGAAAAGCCTGCCTGAAAGTACTCTTGGTGTCTTCACACCATGTTTTTCAGTGTAGCTTGACGGTCTGCTGAGGCTTACTCAGGTTCTGTCTTGCTTTGACAATAAACTCTATTGCATCGATCTCTGACTGACTCCAGTAGCTTCTTTTGAACTCCAAGTGCTGTCGACCTCCACCAGTACTTGTTAAATGCTGAGGACAGATCAGGGCTTCCAGCAGGCCTGAATCTAGCTTTCTGCCCCTCTACAGTAGCCTATGAAGTCCGACAATATAATTACACTTTCCGAGGGGTCCTGTTAACTGTCTGAACAGTGAGTGTGGCAGCTCTACTCATTTATCCCAAGTGCTAACTAGTGAAACTGTGTTAAGCAGGGGTGGAAGTTTAAACTGACTCTTATTACCGTCGTGTGGAGCTTTAGAGTATTTTTAAATATCAGTAAAAACAAACAAGAGATGGTGCCACATACAAGTTCCTGGGGGTGCACCTCAACAAACTGGACTGGACAGACAACATGAGGCCCTCTACAGGAAAGGACAGAGCAGGCTGTTCTTCCTGAGGAGGCTCAGGTCCTTCAATGTGTGCACCAGGCTGCTGCAGATGTTCTACCTGTCTGTAGGGGCCAGTGTCATCTTCCTTGCTGTGGTGTGCTGGGGAGGGGGCGGCAGGACTTGTGGCGCCAACAAACTGGGCAAGCTGGTGAGGAAGGCCACCTCGGTGGTGGGGATTCACCAACTTTCTCAGTTGCCTCTCACAGCCTGTATAGGACTACTGTTTCTATGTGAAGGACTGGTTGGATTCACTGTGAAAACCCATTGTCTTTATGTTATTGTGTCCACCTTGTGTAGCCCTTAATATCATCAATCTTGTATTTTTGTTGTTAATCTCTCAGTATCTTTGAAAATTAAAAGGTCGCATTATTACTTTGCCTCACACGGTGACATCACTATGTTGGATATTAGGCTTTACATAGCATCAATATTTATATTAAATTACTATTAATCAATGTAATAATAATAATAATATTAAATTATTAAGGTGAGAGATTGCAGGTGGTAAAAAAAACAAAAACTAATAGATATAAGAAACTTTCCTAGTTGATTACTTACATTAAGAAAAGATTTTTTTGTATTACAGGTTCTCTGAATTGTTATGTTTAAATATGCAAATGAGACAGTATCTAATAAAATATGCGCTAATTTGCATCAACTTCATCAATTGACACATTAAACTAAAATGTTTTACAGAGGGGATTTTAGATATTGCTTTTTATTATTACATAAATCAAAAAATACTCTCAACAGGCATAAAACAATTATAGCTGGATATTTTAGGCTCAGAGGAAAAACTAATTTTGGGAAAAATGGCCTGTAAAGAGAAGTATTGAAGGAGTAGTGAGGGTTGTGAATTGCAACACTCTGTCCGCTGTACCACTGCCCCCTAACCTAAACAGGGTAGGACAGCTACTCCTTCTCCTCCCTTTCTCTCCAAAAAGAAGACATCTAAATCACTCAAGCTCAGCTATTATAATCAGGTTTTGAATTTGAATCATTTTACTTAGTATCAATCAGTTTAAGTTGTATGCTTGCCTTGCTTAATATTGCAATAAAATATATAAAGGTACCAGTAGTAGACATTGAATTTATTTCTCCACTAAGGTAGTAATTCATTAGGTAAAGTCTGTTTAACATGTTTAAGATTCTTATAGGTTGCTCTAGCCGACAAAATTAACTTATCCTTGGGGCACATTTTCCTGGCCACTAAACACAATCCTAGCAGCTATACCAAGTGCACTGATCAATGAGAAGAGAGCTGTCGTTAACGGGTGTGGCTGGGGTGATATTTGGCTCTAGGGCCAATTCAGAGTAAGCAGGGTAGGCGTTCGGAAGAAGACAGTTAGAAGCTAGGCGAATCTCTTCGACAGCAGCTTAAACAGTCCTCAGTTATACCTAATAGGGTAATACCCACAGGCCTAGAGGATCGGGCCCTTTAAGACGGAGAGCTGGTCCAGTACCTCCTGAACAGGGATAACTCGGGATCTAACATCATGCATTGGGACACCATTCTTTGGGTTCCTGGGAGAGGACTCACTTCTCACTCACTTGAAAAAAGTTCAGCCAAGATCACAAATAAACAACCTCACGCAGACGTCAGAAATCACGTGACACCTTCCCCGCTCCCTCGGCTGGGCGGGTCCACTGTAAAAGAAAAGGAAGAAGCATTCAGTCTGGTCATCACCTTCATCATCTCTGCTTCTAAATATGTGACCTAACCTGACAACGATCGAGAGATTATCACTGTAGATCACCGTAGGCGGTCCGCTGTCAACAGAAACTACAGAGAAGAAAGAATAAGTCAGTCATGGTCGCTTTAACATGGCCGCCATTCGTGGCTTTGTTCGCATGTTCATGGATCGTTGTTCTGTGTCAAGGTAAGAGGAGTGTGTGCCCGTGTGGTAGGTCTGGGGTGATTCAAAGATGTCACTGATTACGGAAATACAACGATTCGCATAACGTGTGTCAACTCATCAGCTAGACGATCTGTTCTCCAACCATCTAAAGTTCAGAAGTATTTTAGAGAGACACTGAACAAAATGGCGCTCTGTGAAGAGGAAATAGTTTCACTGCAGCACAACTGCTGTGCACGAACACGTGGAGTGAAAGAATCTCGGAGCACATGATCAAGACGACAGCACCACAAATCTGCTTTACCTTTTAGTTTCCACACAAGCCTGCTACATTATCAGCACGAGCAGCATGTTTCTGTTTGTCACTTAAAACAGATTTTATGTATGTATTTGTTTATTGCCTCCATGTTAAAAGCAATTTCTGCCCCGCTGCTGTCATGGTGACGTAATGTTGCACCATGTGTCATCTAACATTTCCTGTTTATTAAACGGCCACGTGTGAGCGAGAAAACAGCTGAAAGCAACATTGCACATTACATTGTGAATCGTTTCAGTTGTTTATTTGTTCCACACTGATGCATATCTGTGATTATCTTACTGCATGTTACGCTAGTGATGAAATAAATCCATGTTAGGAACATATGAAGATTCAGTATATATGTAGTACTTAATGTCAGTTATTATTATTTTTAATATCATGACACAGCAACTGTGAAATTAGACTCACTGTTTAATGATCATTACAGGGAGGGAAATGTGTCAAACGTCCTGTATTCCTGTGAACTTTGTTAGTATACTAAGTGTCCTACAGTTATTACAGTAATTATAATAACTGTTGTTGTAACTTATTCATTCAGTTCTATTTACAACATGTTCATTATATTATTGACTCAAATATATTTACTAGACTTTGACTCTGCAGGCTGCTGGATAAGTTTGTAACCTCCTAAAGTTTATTATGAGCTGACTTGTGAACAGAGTCTCCACCTCTGATCTCTGTTCCTGTCCAGCACTGTAGTTTACTGTGTGGACGGATGGACAGCAGAGACCAACATGTGTCCTCTCCCCTCTCGTGGTGTCTGTCCATGCAGATCCAGCAGCTTCATTTGTCTCTCTGAGACGTAAAGCAGTTTCATACTGTAGGGACTCTTTCCTCAGTAGAAGTAGTTCAGACACAGTCTGAGTAGAGGACGGACAGACTGGGGACACATTTGGAAAACAAGGACAAAGATTCAAAGCTTCTAGGAAATAATAAACTTCACATGTTTAATATTTCAGCTGTTTGTTCAGGCTCAGAAATGCTGATGTCTGTATTCAGATGGGAAATAATATCAATAATCAATAATCTCCAAACAAGCAGAAAGCAGATGAAAGTAAAATGTCTCCTGTCTGATGGTGCGGAGGACGACTTGACTGACAGCTGTAGAAATGAGCAACATGAAGTCAGCGTGCAGCTGCAGCAGAGGAGTTAGTCTCGTTGTCTCTAAGGTCAGCATGTAGAGCTCAGAGTGTCTCTTTGTCTCTCAGGTGAGTGAGTAGAGCTCAGAGTGTCTCTTTGTCTAAGGTGTGTTTAGAGAGCTCAGAGTGTCCCTTTGTCTCTCAGGTGAGTTTGTAGAGCTCAGAGTGTCTCGTTGTCTCTCAGGTCAACATGTAGAGCTCAGAGTGTCTCTTTGTCTCTCAAGTCAGCATGTAGAGCTCAGAGTGTCTCGTTGTCTCAGGTGTGTTTATAGAGCTCAGAGTTTCCCTTTGTCTCTCAGGTGAGTTTGTAGAGCTCAGAGTGTCTCGTTGTCTCTCAGGTGAGTTTGTAGAGCTGCTTCCATCAAAAGATATTTGAACAACAGGAAACATTACAAGTCCTGACTGGAGGCTTTTCTCTTTCTGTTCAGGGACACAGGAGCTGAAGGTGAAGCCTGGAGAGGACGCCACTCTTCAGTGTCGGGGTCACAGAGGTGCTGACATAGACCTGCTAAAGTGGATCAGACCTGACCTGAAGTCAGATGATTATGTCTTCTTCTTCAGAGACGGAAGCTCAAATGAAAACAACCAGCATGAATCTTATCGTAGTCGAGTGAAACTGAGAGATCCAGAGATGAAGGACGGAGACGCTTCTGTGATTCTGAAGAACGTCAACATCAACGACGCTGGAACATATGAGTGTCAGATTAGAGAGAAAAATGAGACAGGCAAAGCTGAACTCGTCACCATCATCAACATGACAGTCTCAGGTGAGTGTGTAGAGCTCAGAGTGTCTCTTTGTCTCTCAGGTGAGTGTGTAGAGCTCAGAGTGTCTCTTTGTCTCTCAGGTGAGCCTGTAGAGCTCAGAGTGTCTCTTTGTCTCTCAGGTGAGTGTGTAGAGCTCAGAGTGTCTCTTTGTCTCTCAGGTCAGCATGTAGAGCTCAGAGTGTCTCTTTGTCTCTCAGGTGAGCGTGTAGAGCTCAGAGAGTCACGTTGTCTCTCAGGTGAACGTGTAGAGCTCAGAGTGTCTCTTTATCTCTCAGGTGAGCGTGTAGAGCTCAGAGTGTCTCTTTGTCTCTCAGGTGAGCGTGTAGAGCTCAGAGTGTCTTTTTGTCTCTCAGGTCAGCGTGTAGAGCTCAGAGTGTCTCTTTGTCTATCAGGTGAGTGTGTAGAGCTCAGAGTGTCTCTTTGTCTCTCAGGTGAGCCTGTAGAGCTCAGAGTGTCTCTTTGTCTCTACAGGTGAGCGTGTAGAGCTCAGAGTGTCTCTTTGTCTCTCAGGTGAGCGTGTAGAGCTCAGAGTGTCACGTTGTCTCTCAGGTCAGCATGTAGAGCTCAGAGTGTCTCTTTGTCTCTCAGGTGAGCGTGTAGAGCTCAGAGTGTCTCTTTGTCTCTCAGGTGAGTGTGTAGAGCTCAGAGTGTCTCTTTGTCTCTCAGGTGAGCGTGTAGAGCTCAGAGTGTCACGTTGTCTCTCAGGTCAGCATGTAGAGCTCAGAGTGTCTCTTTGTCTCTCAGGTGAGCGTGTAGAGCTCAGAGTGTCTCTTTGTCTCTCAGGTGAGTGTGTAGAGCTCAGAGTGTCTCTTTGTCTCTCAGGTGAGCCTGTAGAGCTCAGAGTGTCTCTTTGTCTCTCAGGTGAGTGTGTAGAGCTCAGAGTGTCTCTTTGTCTCTCAGGTCAGCATGTAGAGCTCAGAGTGTCTCTTTGTCTCTCAGGTGAGCGTGTAGAGCTCAGAGAGTCACGTTGTCTCTCAGGTGAGCGTGTAGAGCTCAGAGTGTCTCTTTATCTGTCAGGTGAGCGTGTAGAGCTCAGAGTGTCTTTTTGTCTCTCAGGTGAGCGTGTAGAGCTCAGAGTGTCTCTTTGTCTCTCAGGTGAGCGTGTAGAGCTCAGAGTGTCTCTTTGTCTCTCAGGTGAGTGTGTAGAGCTCAGAGTGTCTCTTTGTCTCTACAGGTGAGCGTGTAGAGCTCAGAGTGTCTCTTTGTCTCTCAGGTGAGCGTGTAGAGCTCAGAGTGTCACGTTGTCTCTCAGGTCAGCATGTAGAGCTCAGAGTGTCTCTTTGTCTCTCAGGTGAGCGTGTAGAGCTCAGAGAGTCACGTTGTCTCTCAGGTCAGCGTGTAGAGCTCAGAGTGTCTCTTTGTCTCTCAGGTGAGCGTGTAGAGCTCAGAGTGTCTCTTTGTCTCTCAGGTGAGCGTGTAGAGCTCAGAGTGTCTCTTTTTCTCTCAGGTGAGTGTGTAGAGCTCAGAGTGTCTCTTTGTCTATCAGGTGAGTGTGTAGAGCTCAGAGTGTCACTTTGTCTCTCAGGTCAGTGTGTATAGCTCAGAGTGTCACGTTGTCTCTCAGGTCAGCGTGTAGAGCTCAGAGTGTCTCGTTGTCTCAGGTGAGCCTGTAGAGCTCAGAGTGTCTCTTTGTCTCTCAGGTGAGCCTGTAGAGCTCAGAGTGTCTCTTTGTCTCTCAGGTGAGCGTGTAGAGCTCAGAGTGTCTCTTTGACTCTCAGGTCAGCATGTAGAGGTCAGAGTGTCTCATTGTCTCTCAGGTGAGCGTGTAGAGCTCAGAGTGTCTCTTTGTCTCTCAGGTGAGCGTGTAGAGCTCAGAGTGTCTCGTTGTCTCTCAGGTGAGCGTGTAGAGCTCAGAGTGTCTCTTTGTGTCAGGTGAGTGTGTAGAGCTCAGAGTGTCTCTTTGTCTCTACAGGTGAGCGTGTAGAGCTCAGAGTGTCTCTTTGTCTCTCAGGTGAGCGTGTAGAGCTCAGAGTGTCTCTTTGTCTCTCAGGTGAGCGTGTAGAGCTCAGAGTGTCTCTTTGTCTCTCAGGTGAGCCTGTAGAGCTCACAGTGTCTCTTTGTCTCTCAGGTGAGTGTGTAGAGCTCAGAGTGTCTCTTTGTCTATCAGGTGAGTGTGTAGAGCTCAGAGTGTCTCTTTGTCTCTCAGGTAAGTGAGTAGAGCTCAGAGTGTCACGTTGTCTCTCAGGTCAGCATGTATAGCTCAGAGTGTCACTTTGTCTCTCAGGTCAGTGTGTATAGCTCAGAGTGTCACGTTGTCTCTCAGGTCAGCGTGTAGAGCTCAGAGTGTCTCGTTGTCTCAGGTGAGCCTGTAGAGCTCAGAGTGTCTCTTTGTCTCTCAGGTGAGCCTGTAGAGCTCAGAGTGTCTCTTTGTCTCTCAGGTGAGCGTGTAGAGCTCAGAGTGTCTCTTTGACTCTCAGGTCAGCATGTAGAGGTCAGAGTGTCTCATTGTCTCTCAGGTGAGCGTGTAGAGCTCAGAGTGTCTCTTTGTCTCTCAGGTGAGCGTGTAGAGCTCAGAGTGTCTCGTTGTCTCTCAGGTGAGCGTGTAGAGCTCAGAGTGTCTCTTTGACTCTCAGGTCAGCATGTAGAGCTCAGAGTGTCTCTTTGTCTCTCAGGTCAGCATGTAGAGCTCAGAGTGTCTCTTTGTCTCAGGTGAGTGTGTAGAGCTCAGAGTGTCTCTTTGTCTCTCAGGTGAGAGTGTAGAGCTCAGAGTGTCTCTTTGTCTCTCAGGTGAGCGTGTAGAGCTCAGAGTGTCTCTTTGTCTCTCAGGTCAGCATGTAGAGCTCAGAGTGTCTCTTTGTCTCTCAGGTCAGCATGTAGAGCTCACAGTGTCTCTTTGTCTCTCAGGTGAGCTTGTAGAGCTCAGAGTGTCTCTTTGTCTCTCAGATGAGCGTGTAGAGCTCAGAGAGTCACGTTGTCTCTCAGGTCAGCGTGTAGAGCTCACAGTGTCTCTTTGTCTCTCAGGTCAGCGTGTAGAGCTCAGAGTGTCTCTTTGTCTCTCAGGTGAGCGGGTAGAGCTCAGAGTGTCTCTTTTTCTCTCAGGTGAGCCTGTAGAGCTCAGAGTGTCTCTTTGTCTCTCAGGTGAGCCTGTAGAGCTCAGAGTGTCTCTTTGTCTCTCAGGTGAGTGTGTAGAGCTCAGAGTGTCTCTTTGTCTATCAGGTGAGTGTGTAGAGCTCAGAGTGTCTCTTTGTCTCTCAGGTAAGTGAGTAGAGCTCAGAGTGTCTCTTTGTCTATCAGGTGAGTGTGTAGAGCTCAGAGTGTCTCTTTGTCTCTCAGGTAAGTGAGTAGAGCTCAGAGTGTCACGTTGTCTCTCAGGTCAGCATGTATAGCTCAGAGTGTCTCTTTGTCTCTCAGGTCAGCATGTAGAGCTCAGAGTGTCTCTTTGTCTCTCAGGTCAGCATGTAGAGGTCAGAGTGTCTCTTTGACTCTCAGGTCAGCATGTAGAGGTCAGAGTGTCTCATTGTCTCTCAGGTGAGCTTGTAGAGCTCAGAGTGTCTCTTTGTCTCTCAGATGAGCGTGTAGAGCTCAGAGTGTCTCGTTGTCTCTCTGGTGAGCGTGTAGAGGTCAGAGTGTCTCATTTTCTCTCAGGTGAGCTTGTAGAGCTCAGAGTGTCTCTTTGTCTCTCAGATGAGCGTGTAGAGCTCAGAGTGTCTCGTTGTCTCTCAGGTGAGCGTGTAGAGCTCAGAGTGTCTCTTTGACTCTCAGGTCAGCATGTAGAGCTCAGAGTGTCTCTTTGTCTCAGGTGAGTGTGTAGAGCTCAGAGTGTCTCTTTGTCTCTCAGGTGAGAGTGTAGAGCTCAGAGTGTCTCTTTGTCTCTCAGGTGAGCGTGTAGAGCTCAGAGTGTCTCTTTGTCTCTCAGGTCAGCATGTAGAGCTCAGAGTGTCTCTTTGTCTCTCAGGTCAGCATGTAGAGCTCACAGTGTCTCTTTGTCTCTCAGGTGAGCGTGTAGAGCTCAGAGTGTCTCTTTGTCTCTCAGGTGAGCGTGTAGAGCTCAGAGTGTCTCGTTGTCTCTCAGGCGAGTTTGTATAGCTCAGATTCTCTTGTCTCTCAGGTGAGCGTGTAGAGCTCAGAGTGTCTCTTTGTCTCTCAGGTCAGCATGTAGAGCTCAGAGTGTCACTTTGTCTCTCAGGTGAGCTTGTAGAGCTCAGAGTGTCTCTCTGTCTCTCAGGTCAGCGTGTGGAGCTCAGAGTGTCTCTTTTTCTCTCAGGTGAGCCTGTAGAGCTCAGAGTGTCTCTTTGTCTCTCAGATGAGCGTGTAGAGCTCAGAGTGTCTCTTTGTCTCTCAGGTGAGCGTGTAGAGCTCAGAGTGTCTCGTTGTCTCTCAGGCGAGTTTGTAGAGCTCAGAGTGTCTCTTTTTCTCTCAGGTGAGCCTGTAGAGCTCAGAGTGTCTCTTTGTCTCTCAGGTCAGCATGTAGAGGTCAGAGTGTCTCTTTGTCTCTCAGGTCAGCGTGTAGAGCTCAGAGTGTCTCTTTGTCTCTCAGGTCAGCGTGTAGAGCTCAGAGTGTCTCTTTGTCTCTCAGGTGAAGCTGCTTCATGGTAGTTGAGCTGAGAAACATCACAGATCAGATGTTTGTGTTTTAGAAAGATGTTGCTGAGGAGACTTTAGAGGAAACAGCTGCTACGAGTCATGTGATCAAAGTGCAGTAGATAATGTCTGACATTCTGTTCACCTGCTGACAGCTGATACCTCACACCTGTTTCTGCTCTGCAGGTCACAAGGCTGGACACAAGGAGGAAGGAGACAAGGAGGGAGGAGGCAAGGAGGAAGGAGACAAGGAGGGAAATGTTGGACTGAAAGTTGGTCTGCCAGTTTGTGTGATTCTTCTTCTTCTTCTTGGTGTTGGTGGTTTTGTGATCTTTAAAAAATATAACAGACCCACAGGGAATCAACAACCTGGTATAAACAGACATGAACTGTAGAACCTGCAGCCAGATTAAGAGACCAGAGGCAGCAGATGAGAATTAGTGAGGATCCAGACTGAAGTCACTCTGGTTACTGTGGGGAGCACTGATTGGTCGTTACTCTCTGGCTGCTGATTGGTGGACTGAATGTGCTGCTGGACAGAAGAAACACATTCCTCCTGTAAAATAAACCTGAGCTGTTGACACACGTCTGATTTCACCTGGAGGCAGGTTAATGCCAGATGGGCTGACTGACCAGCAGCTCTGTGGGACAAACAATATGACCTGATGCTGGAACAGCCAGCTGATTGTTAATTACAGGAAGTGGTACTGTTATGACCCTGGGGTCATATTTTGTTGTTCGTTTATCTCTCCTGGCACTGTCAGCTGTTCTCCTCCATTAAAGTGTGTGTGTGAGTGTATGCAGGTACTGGAGAACAGATGGACACACTGGATTGGTCTGGTTGAGCTGATTGGAGCCTCCTGATTGGGTATCTGGATGACAGCAGCCATCTTAAGCCCTACTGACAGGAACTCTCCCCCTCTCTCCGCCATTCCCAACCTGCCTGAGGACTGTGTGTTATGTCTGTGTTTATTGTACATAGTGAACGGTTGTGACTATATTCAACTTAGATTGTAAGTAGTATCGTAGTCCTTCTGATTGTCTTATGACAACCTGGTTTTGTTGGCTTTGCCATTTTTGTTGCTATGAAGCAATTTCCTTTGTTGTAGCTATATTGTGTCAGCTACTAGCAGTGAGTAGGAGTGAGAAGCCCTTTCTTTTGTTTGCACCGTTTTCTCCTGTTTTTGGACTTAGAAGCCTAGTTTTAGAGCTTTGTCTTTTCTTTACCTTTTGGTTTTGGGTTTAGGAAAGATTTAGGTTTTTCTTAGTGTTTTGGTTGTTGTTTTGGGCACTGCTCATCTCCGATGTATAATAAAAACTGCTAAATTGTATTTGTTGTGTGCTGGCCTTGTTTGGGAATGGGAAGAGTGGGAGGCCACACATTTATGTTACCTCCAGGACACCCCTAGACCTTGGGACGTAAAATAAATTGGGGGCTCGTCCATTCTTGCTCGTGTTCTTTGTCATCCAGTTAGGTAGGTTAGGTAAGTTGTTTCTTGTGTCTCTATCCGTGTGGTTGGCAGTTTTCTTTTGTTGTGGTGGCAAAATGGAGTTTAAATTAGAGGATTTTGCTACTAGTCCGTCGATTGACAAGTTGGATAAATGTAAGAAGACTGACCTGATTTTAGTGGGGAACTTTTTTGACGTGCAGTTTCCACTCAGTCTTAAGAAGCAGGAGTTAAAGGAGCTCCTATGCTTAAAGCTGACTGAAAGGGGTTTGTTTGGGGAGTTAACTCCTACAGAGGGGGATCCGGGTGATCGTGCTGGTATTGTTACCCCACTCCAAATAATACCACCTCAAGGCCTTGCAGCTCAGATGAGCCCGACTGCAGAAGAGCTGAGGCTAACGCTGCAGATAAAAGAGGCAGAGGTGAGAAATCAGGAGTTGGAGGTGCAAGCCATGCATTTAAAGATAAGAGTTCTGGAGATAGAGCGGGGAGCCGCTACATCTGCCAGTTCTCCTACCTCACCATCACCCACTCCAAGACCCCAAGACAGCTTTGACGTGAGTAGGCACATTGCATTAGTTCCACCATTTAGAGTCTGAGGTAGACTGCTTTTTCAATGCTTTTGAACGTATTGCTGCTACACTGGATTGGCCAAAGAGAGTGTGGCCTCTGTTACTCCAATGTAAGTTAGTAGGCAAAGCTCAGGAAGTCTGTACCTCTCTGTCCATTGAAGACAGTTTGAATTATGATGTTGTTAAAACCACTGTCCTTCGTGCCTATGAGTTAGTGCCAGAAGCATATAGGCAAAAATTTAGAGCTTGTGAAAAAACTGCCACCCAGACGTATGTAGAGTTGGCAAGAGAGAAAGGTACTCTTTTTGATAAATGGTGTCAGGCCAGTAAGATAGCAACGTTATTGGATCTGCGGGAACTTGTGTTGTTGGAGGAATTTAAGAATCGGCTCCCAGAGAAAATTGTCATGTATTTAAATGAACAAAAAGTCACTTCCCTTGCTGCTGCCGCTGTTCTGGCGGATGAGTTTACCCTAACTCATAAATTTGTTCGTCGGGAGCCGACCTCAGTTGACCGTAAGGGTAACTCTCCTATGAGTTATCGTCGTAACCCCACTGCCACCACAGGAAGTCGGGAGTGTTTTTACTGTCATGAGCAAGGACACCTCATCGCTGCCTGCCCTTCTCTTAAAAGGAAGGAGCACAGTATGAATGCCAAAACACCCTCACCAATAGGGCTCATCCACACTTCACCCCACAAAAAGTTGAATCTGGTTAATGCTCAAAAAGACCACATTGACGAGGCTTTTAGGCCATTTGTGTCACAGGGTTTTGTTTCTCTGGTGGGTGAGGAAAAACAAATCCCTATCACTATCCTGCGGGATACTGGAGCCAAACAATCACTGATCCGTGATGGTGTTTTACCTCTCTCAGCTGAGACCTATTGTGGTGCAGACGTGTTGGCATGGGGAGTTAAAATGTGTGCAGTGCGGGCGCCGTTGCACTTCATTCAGTTGTTCTCCAGATTTGTGTCCGGGAAATTTAGAATTGCTATGCGCCCTCAGTTGCCGATAGCCGGTATAAACTTAATCCTCGGTAACGATTTGGCTGGCGGTAAAGTTTTCCCGTCTCCCGAGGTGATCGAACATCCGATTGCGGATGAATGCGTTCCCGACACTGACTTGACCCCGTTGTTTGTGTTGTAACCCGTGCTCAAGCACAAAAGCTTGGCGACTTGGTGGATCTTAGCGACTCTTTCATGAGCGGCTCTGATCCAACAAGCTCCCATCACGTTTGTAGAGAAAATGCACCTATCTGTGTAGAGCTTCAGCCTGATTATCAAAACCTAACCCTTGCTGTAGATAAAGAGCAGCTGATCAGAGCACAGAAAGCTGACTCTAGCTTAACCTCTTGCTTTTCTCTTGCAGAAAGCCAATCATGTGAAAAGTCTGTGTCCTACCTGGTTGAGGATGGTGTTCTTCTGCGGCACTGGTCTCCAAGCTCTGGTAGTACGCACGAGTCAGTGTCCCAAATTGTAGTGCCACAGGCATTCCGATCTCAGGTCTTAAGTTTGGCCCATGATCATTGCATGTCCGGCCACTTAGGCATAAGGAAAACGTACAATCGTGTGCTTCGTTATTTCTTCTGGCCTGGACTTAAATCAGATGTGGTAAAATTCTGTCGATCGTGCCACACCTGTCAGGTCTCAGGTAAACCGAATCAGGTGATTCCTCCTGCTCCATTAAGGCCCATTCCTGTCGACGGAGAACCTTTTGAGCACGTTATTGTTGACTGTGTTGTTTGTCCTTTACCTAAACCCCCCCCCCCCCCCCCCCCCTTAGTCAGGATGTGAGATCAGTTCTTCCTCGTTACTGTTGGCTGGTAGAAACTGACTGCTGCTCTTTTATTCAGGGTTTAATGTTCTCCAGTGCTGTGCCGGCGTTTTATATTCGACAATATGTAATTATAATAATAAATGTAATATAATAAATAATAATAACAGTGATAAAAGAGTGTGCATTGCAAAGTTTTTAGGCAAAATGAACTTAACAAAAAGAGAATTATAAATAGCATAAAGAAAAGTAAAAAATATTAATTAAATTACATATAAAATAGAAATATTAAGGTCAATCAAAAAGATGGATTTTAAGATTTGTTTAAAAAAGACTTGATGTTTGAGACGTCCTGAGATCAGAGGGTCTACTGGGAAAATATGATACAAGCACGTCGGACGTCTTCAGCTACTTCTCAGGTGTATTTTCTGACATGTCAGAGGTCACACGCCTCTGGAGCAACTAGAGGTTAAGTGTCCTGCTCAGGGACACATTGGTGGATGTGTCACAGTGGGGGATTGAACATTAAAGGCATGTGTCTTATCCACTGCTCCACCACCACCCAGTACAGCAGCTGTTAACATGGAGGCTTTTCTTCCTCTGATGATCAGTCAGAGCTCAGTCTCTACACAGCAGCTGCATGTGAACTCCTCCGTCACTGTAAACTGTCTGTGGTAAATATTTTAGTTTGTGTTCTTGATTTTTTCTCACATACGCAGTGAACAGACACCACAGGGAGGACGATCCTGTAAGATACAGTTAGACTTTTAACTGGAAAGAAACTCTCCCATCCTGTTCCTGTTAATGTGCAGTCATAGTCTGGAGCTTTTCTTCTTTGTCTTTAGAGACATTTTCTTCAGACTTTTATACAAATACTGCACCTCATGAAATGAGCCATTAAACTACATTTTCAAAACTAGAACGACCTCTCTATGTCTCCTCAAGTAAAGTCATCACCTCAGCTGAGAACGATAAAGAAATAAACCCTATCACTGGTGCTTTTCACTCTGCTGGCTTTGACTCTGTTTTGCTGTTGCTCTCATCTCTGCTGTCTCATGTTCACCATGTCAGAGCTGGTACTGGGGCCGCCGAGCTCCATTTGACAAACCTATTCAAGTAAAAGCATTAAAGTACTTTAAGTACCCAAATGTCCACTGCTGGTCACTTCCTGTCAGCACAACTCCATCTCTTAGGGAACTTCCACCCCTACTAACCACACTAGCTCCCCCTTATAGCTCCCCCAGCGGTGACTTGCTAAGAGACGATGCAATACCTGCATTACATTTAAATAAACTTGTTCTTACTGCCACACAAAGAGGTCTTGTTGGAAGTAATCTTATGATCTTGGACTCAGAAATAGCTCTCCAAGCTGACTCAGATGTTCCCTTGTCTGGCTACATTATTTATAGTGTGGGCAGAGGTGGTGGTGTTGCACTTTATGTAAAGTGCTGCTTAAATGTTTCTGTATCCTTATGAATGTCTAGTTTAAACAGTTGCACTTATATATATGTAATATATATATATAATCTGATTGATGCATCACGTGTTTGTGCAACTCTGAATGGCTGATTATGGTTGACCTGATGGTTTTTTACCTGTAGCAGACACATTTTAAGACATTCGTACTGAGCTTAATCTGACTCAGCTCCGAACCAAACCGACCCGCCCACACCTTAAAAACCTGTAAAAATCTACTCTGCTAGACGTTGTTTTAACAAATACTCCCTGTAAATGCGCAGCCAGTGGGGTCTTTGCTGATGTCATCAGTGACGACTGGCCTATTGCAGGAATACCAGACTCAACTACCCCGACCCCAGTTTCCTTTCCAAGAGTAGAGTAGAGCCCTGAATGCAGTTCACCACTGTGCCCTCAGGTTTATCACTGACAACACTTACTGTTATTATCACTGTGATCAAAATGTGGGATGGGCCTCTCTCTCTGTGAGGCGTGAGCAACATGCTCTCTTCTTTATCTATAAAGCTCTTCTTTCAGAACTACCTCCACAAATATCTACTTTCATTTCTCCAGACTTAAAGAGA